AGGGGTTTGGTTAGAGATGTCATATTTAGGGTTGAGTGTTCCAAGATCTCTTACTCTCCACATATTGTCTAGCTGAGGGTCTCTGTATTTGTTCCCTTTTGCTGCATGAGGAAGCTGCTCTAATGCTGGCTGAGAAAGGCATTATCTATGAGTATAGCAGATTGTATTTAGGAGTCATTTTATTGATGTGTTTCTTAAGCAGAACAGTAGTATTTGGTTTTCCCTGTCTACCGTGGCCTATCTAGTTTCAGGTTCTTGGCCACCCAAGCAAAGCTTGGAACGGGCCTTTAATGAAGTCAGGTATTGGTTGGTTACTCCCACAAGCTTTGTTCTACTATTGCACCAGCATATCTTGGACGCAGGTCACCATTCTAGATAGGAGGTTTTGTAGCTAGGGTGGTGTTTACCTTTCTCCTTTGATACTTTCCAGTGCCATGGAAATCTAGTCCATAAGTGGGGAAGGATCTAGGGATATGTCAGCTTGACTTCTCCATGTTCAATGATTCGTGTTAATGTCATCTTCAAGATTAGAACTTTCCTGTTTTAGAAAGCAGCCAAAAGCCTTGCAATAACTTGGGTTATTTGTGGTCCCCATTGGACCCCTTTCACCTACAACTTGACTAGACTAGATGTTACCCTTTGCCAGTACTGCAAGTTTCATTTGGTGACAAGAGATATCCAGGTTGGGCTTTGTCTCCCCACAGTTTGTTTTTTGTTTGTTTGTTTTGTTTTTGTTCATTTGTTTTTTGGCTACTTCATCTAGATATCACACACACACACACACACACACACACACACACACGTGCTTCTATTCTATTCGGTTTCCATAAGATCCCTCAAATGGCCCTGAATTTTAGCTGTCCCTCCTCTTCTATCTGCCTTCTGATTGGACTCTCCTGTTCCTGACTCCTTCCTCATCCACCCATAACAATCTATTCTACTTCCCTTTATGCCTCGCTGTCCCTCCACTCTAGTCCCTTATTCTATACCTAAACTGTGGTTAGACAGATTGTAGCTTGCTTATTCTTTGACCCCACAGCTAACATCCATATAGAAGTGAAAACATACCATATTTGTCTTTTTTGGTCTGGGTTATTTTATTCAGTATGACTCTTTCTAGCTCCATCTATTTACCTGTGAATTTCATGATTGATTTCCTTTTACTTTTTTAACTGTTAAGTAATAGTCCATTGTGTAAATGCACCACATTTCTTTATACATTCTTCTCTTGAGGAACACCTAGGATGTTTCCAATTTCTTGATATTATAAATGGAGCAGCAATGAGCATGGTTGAGCAAGTAAGTGTTTCTGTGGTAGGTGAAGGATTTTCTGGGTACGTACAAGAGTGTTATATCTGGGTCTTGAAAGATACTCAGCTTCCCAAGGAACCATCACATTTTCCCCCACAATGGCTGTACAATTCCCCTCCCACCACAAACATGAGCTGCCATTTGTTTTATTGATCTTTTATATTCTGACTCTTGTAAGGTGAAATCTCAAAATATTTTTGATTTGCATTGCCCCAATGACTAAGAATACTGAACATTTTAAAAAGTCTTTCCCAGACATTTGAATTTTCTGTATTGAAACTTCTCTGCTTATATCTGTGCCTCATTTTTAATTGAGTTATTTGTTTTCTTGATGTCCAGTATATTAGTTCTTCATATATTTTGGACATTAACCCTTTATTGGATATGTAGTTGGTAAAAATCTTTTCCCGTTTTGTAGGCTGCCATTTGAAATAAAACACTATTTGTGGCAGGTTAGATAGTCTCTATGGGTGAACCTACAAAGTTGGCAGACACATAGGAGTTAACAGAATTCATTAAAATTATCTAATAAAAGATCCCTATATAACAATAAAGTCTTTACATCAATAATTAAATGAATATACTTCCCAATATTTTATTTATTCCTCGAGAATTTCATAGAAGGATTTTTTAACATTTTCACCCCTATCTCCTTCCATTTATTTGCCTCAACTATGTCCCCACATCTGTGATGCCCAACTTTGTATCCTACTTTTTAGTAACTCCAGGGTCAGTTTCTTAATGAAAAATGACTCTCCCTTGCCCAGAAGCCATTATTCTTTCTTAGCTCATCTGTTAGGAGTAGGAGCTCATGAACCCATCCCACTACATGCTTGAATGTTGGCCTGCTTCATATTGTACAAGTGACCATGGCTCTGTGGGTCATGAATGCAGTGGTCCTGTCATGTCCAGAAGAAACTGTTTGCTCTAATTCTCCTTGACCTATGGCTCTTACCATCTTCCTGCCCCATCTTCCATGATGGTCTTTGAGACTTTTGGATAGAGTGTGATACAGATGTCCATTAATCATGGATGACACCAGTGAAATAAAAACAACAATGTAAAGATGCACGAAACAAAGAGTCAGTTCACTGAAAATATTAACAAGATGGTCACAACACATCTTTAGCCAAATTAACCAAAAGGAAGAGAAGGATGAAAATAATATACAAAGGAAGAAAAAGGAGACATGGAGGATATTCAATCCTTTAAATTTTATACTCCTCCAAACTGGAAAATTGTTTTTTAAAAAATTGATGTATTTCTAGATGTATATAATCTATCAAAGTTAAATCAAGATAACATGACTAATTTAAACAGTCCCATACTAGCCAATGATATAGAAACAGTAATTAAAAATCCCCCATCCAAAAGAGCCCAGAGCCAGGCGGATTCAGTGTAGAATTTGACCAGACATTTAAAGAACAACACTCTGCAGACTATTCCTTAAAATAGAGAAAGAAGGACCACATCCAAATTCTTTTTTTTAAGTCAATAATACCTTGATCTTGAGAGAAAGAAAGTGAGGCAGACAGAGAGAGACAGAGGGACAGAGAATTATGGGCCAATTACACTGAAAAGTATACACATACAAATTCTCTATAAAATACTTGCAAACCTAATTCAGGATCACATAAAAAAATCATCCACCATGATCAAACGGTCTTCACCTCAGATCTGCAAGGACAATTCAACATACACACTTGAACAAATATATTCCACCACATAAAATGAATAAAGCACAGAAACCAGAAAAGACCAGCTTATTAGATGTAAAAAGAAAAAGGAAAGGCTTTTGTAAAAATCCTGACAAAATACAGGAGAATCTAGGGATATATAAAGGACAGATTCCAACACAATAAAGTCATTTTACAACAAGTCCAAAGCGACACCATGTTAAATAGAGAAAAACTCAAAGCAATCCCAAGAAAATCAGGAAAATGATAATGATGTCCACTCTTTTCATTTCTATTCAATATAGTACTTGGATTCTTACCTGGAGCAAGAAGACAACTGAAGGAGACAAAGGAGATACAAATGGAAAAGAGAAAGTCTAAATTTCCTAATACAGATGATATGATTCTCAACAAATAAAACTGAATATTTTTCAGAAGTCCCTTAAAGCTGATAAATACAGTCATAAAAGTGAAAGGATGCAAAACTAACACACAAAAGTCAGTATTCCTCCTGTTTACAATGACAGACACACTGAGAAGGAAATCAGGAAAACAACTCCACTCACAATAGCCTTAAAAAGATATAATAAGACATTTTGGATTAGCATCCATTAAAAGCATACTATTAGTAAGAACAGCTATGAAGTACCTAAGAGCAATCCTAAATACATATAGGACCTTTGAAATTGATGTTCTTAAAGACCTTCAAGACTTAAATGAATGGAAGTCCTTAAAGTTTTGTGGATAAGTAGGTAATATGAAATGTTTACTTTTCTAAATTAGTAACACTTATGCAATAAATCTTGAATTAGAAAATGTGAATGCAATAAATTACCCATTTTTGTGGAACTTAATAATCTGACCATAAATATTCTAAGATGTGGTGAAGGATAATTGTTAAAGTGGAAGAAGAAAGAACATGTAGAGATAACCGTAAAGAGGGAAAAGCAGGGAGACATGCCATGTTAGAGGTAAACATTCCATATCAGATAAAAAAGTAAAAAAAAAAATGCTTATATAGTTATGTAAGCAGTGGGTGTGGTTGGTAGAGTAGATATTGCAACAGATTTCAGTGTCTATATACTTTGTAATTGGTGAAAACAATGCGGCAACAGACTGGCAGGAGAAGTATGGACCATCAGAAGATGCCAAGAGAATATGGCAAGTGTTCTTGCCAGATTTCTGTTATTGTGATAAAACTCATAAAAGCCAATCTGGGAAAGTTAGGAGTTTATTCACCTCACAGGTTACAGTCCGTCATCAGGGAATGCCAAGGCAAGATCCCAAGACTGGGGCATGAAGCCCTAGAGAACACTGCTCACTGCTCTGCTCAGGTAGCTTTCCTCTATGGCCCAGGCTCACCTGCCTAGGGATGGCGCTACCTACAGAGGCTGAACTGTCCTCCAGCAATTAACAATCAAGTAAATGCCGAAGAAGAAGGCTTGCAAGCCAGTCTGATGGAGTCAATTCCACAACTCTGTGTCTAGTAGACATTCAAGATTGATCATTACAGTAAGCCATAAAGGGGAAAACATAGCCCTAAGCTAATTGCAATGAAAATGGACCCTCCAGGAATAGAATGTGCAAAGTTAAATTTCTTTGTAGGAAGAATAATTTTAAAGGATTTATGTCAGAAAATGAAACTATATCTAAAAAATGAGCGACTATAAGCCTAAGTCACAAAGGAAACTTTGGTACATTTGACTATTGTAGACCCTTCTGGAGGCTGCAAGTGGACTCAGGGAGTGATTGTCAGCTGCCTGCACCTTTGACTGTCCTTCCAGTGTTCTGCTGGAGGAGTTCCCATGTAAAAGCTGCACCCCTTACTACAGAGGCTAGGTCTCAAATACAAGCCAAGTCATCACCTGCACGCAAGAGTTCATGTTGTAAAGATATGGAGGGTGGTCCCCGAGGCCGCCGCCGCCATGTCCCCGTGTCCCCTGGGGTCCGGTCTATGGAATCAGTTGGCGCAGCCGGCGGCGCGGAGGCAGGAGGGGCCTCTGCCCCGCCAGGATGTTTCCGGGCTTGGCCGCTGCTGCGGTGCACAGGTGCAGCTGGGCGACGCTGTGCAGGCTGGGGGGGAGCCGGGCAGTGGCCTGCGGCTGCAGCCATAGACGGAAGAATTTAATGACATTTGGAAGCTTCACATACATGGTTCCCAATGGTTACCCACATGTTTGTACTCTAAATAGAGTCAGGTTGTACTCTACAGATGTCCACAACGGAGGGCAGGGACCACAAGCTCCAAGAGCTGAAAAAGTCCCAGCACCCAAGGAAGCAGCCGAAAATATAGGCGCAGAACTCAAAGCCCCACTTAAACAAGATCCTCTCCAAGTAAGAGTCAAAGCAGTTCTTAAGAAAAGGAAGTATGGATCAAAATACACTAAGAATAATTTCATCACTGGAGTAAGAGTAATAAATGAGTTCTATCTTAAATCCACTGATTTAGAACAACTTCGAAAAATCAGACGACGAAGTCCCCACGATGATACTGTGTTCTTGAGGTCAGATGTAGAAGCAAAAGCTTTGGAAGTTTGGGGAAGCCTTGAAGCTCTTGCCAGGGAGAAAAAATTGCATAAAGAAGCAGAAATAGAATACAGAGAATGGTTGTTTAGAAACCAAAAAAATATTAAGAGAATATGGTGATTTATTGGGCAACACAAAGCCACAATCCAGAGCTGTGTCAGTGTTTCTTAAAGGACCGGGAAAAGTGGTGATGGTTGCTATCTGCATTAATGGCTTAAACTGCTTCTTTAAATTCCTGGCTTGGATTTACACGGGTTCAGCAAGCATGTTCTCTGAAGCTACACACTCATTATCTGACACTTGCAACCAGGATTTGCTAGCACTAGGCAGCAGCAGGTCTATTCAAACACCAGACCCTTCTCACCCATATGGCTTTTCAAATATGCACTATATTTCTTCACTGATTAGTGGTGTTGGTATTTTCATGATGGGCGCAGGACTCTCTTGGTACCATGGAATCATGGGATTGCTTCATCCTCAACCAATGGAATCCCTTCTATGGACATATTGTATTTTAGCAGGATCTTTGGTGTCTGAAGGAGCAACACTTCTTGTTGCCATAAATGAACTTCCAAGGAGCGCTCAGGCCAAAGGAACATCATTTTATAAGTATGTCATGGAAAGTCGTGATGCCAGTACAAATGTTATACTATTGGAGTATAGTGGGAAATTACCAATACGGAGTCAGGTAGAAATATAAGGGTATTTAATAGGGAAAAGCCTTACTTACAGAGTGACCTAGCCAGCCGGCGTGGCAGCAGTCTGTACAGCCAGAAGCAAAGTGAAACTGAAAGCGCAAATGCAGTCACACTACATCACTCTGACCACACCCTCACAAGCTTGGTCAGACACACCTGTAGCCAGCCCCTAAGTAGGCGTGGCTATAGCTTCCCCTACATTGGAGGACACTGCAGCTGTCCTAGCACCCACCTGCATGGGCCTTACCTCTGTAACAGGCAATCCATTGTATGATAGCCTGGGTTCCTTGGGTATGGGCACCTTACTAGGTGTGGTCTCAGCCTTCCTGATCTACACTAACACAGAAGCACTCCTAGGCCAATCCATACAACCGGAGCAAATACAACGGCTTACTGAATTCCTGGAGAGTGACCCATGAAGTAAGGGCAATCCATGATGTTAAAGCCACAGATATGGGCTTAGGGAAAGTCAGATATAAGGCAGAAGTTGATTTTGATGGACGAGTTGTTACACGATCATACTTGGAAAAGCAGGATTTTGACCACATGCTGCAAGAAATTCAAGAAGTAAAAACTCCTGAACAATTAGAGGCCTTTATGCTTAAACATGGAGAAAATATTATTGATACTCTAGGAGCTGAAGTGGACAGGCTTGAGAAGGAGCTAAAAAAATGAAATCCTGAAGTTTGGCACATAGATCTGGAAATCCTATAGATATGATGAATGAGTCACTTGGGACATGGAGACATCTTCCTCCCCACTGAAGGGGAGTCAGTGCCGTCCAGAAGCCATGCTTCTCAAGCTAGATGGGATATTTCATGTGCTGAGCAATTGAAGAGGCCACAGGACTAAAACTCCTTTCTTCTAATCATGTCTTCATGCTTCTATAAGGACATTGGCTGCTTAGATCACCCACAGTTTCTCATTTTAGCCAATCTGTATTGAACCGTGAAATCATGTTTCCTTTCTTTTCATGGTAAAATAAGTGTTCCCTGTGGACTTGTAACTTAGGTTACCACTGAAGACTTTAGTCCATCGAAGTCTTCTGATCTTGAATATTCTGGCTAAACCTTGTTGTGTGTTTTTTAAACAGTCACTGTGTTTTGAGTTCTGTCTTTCCTGGCCAGTTGGGAAAGTATTTCTGTATATATTGTGGTTTCGACCTGAACACTGAGAGGCACTCTCCTAACTTCATTATCCACAGATGTTCATTCCAGAAATGGCGTAGTTACTGAATGGAGTGAAGGCATTTCAGCATCTTTTAGATCATAGTAGTTGCCATTTTGTAAAATTTCTTCTTTCTCCTTTACTTTTTTTCCTTATTTGGTTTAATTTTTGTAATGTTAAAGACATAATCCTAGATATATGACTTTTTTTTTTTAAGCTGGCTTCAGTGCCATAGATTTCAGCTCAGTGTATATCTGTGGATGTCTGTCTCTGCTTCCATCAGCCACTGAATGAGGGCTCTAGGATGGCATAAAGAGTAGTCATCAATCTCATTTTAGGGGAAGGGCATTTAGGTTATCCTCTCCACCATTGCTGGATTGTTAGATAGTGTCATCCTTGTAGATCTCTGGAGATCTCCCTAGTTCCAGATCTCTTCTCGGACCTATTGAGGCTCCCTCTGATATGGTATCTCTCATCCTGCTCTCTCTCCTCTATTCTTCCCCCAACTCAATATTTCTGCTCCTCCATTTCCTCTCCTCTACTCCTCTTCTAGTGCTCTTATTGTGGCAGCTCCCCCTCCCCCCCCCCCCTGCTCCCAATTAGCTCAGGAGTTCATGCCACTTCCCATTCCTGGGGTCCATTTATCCCTTAGAGTCCTTCATGTTTCCTAGTTTCTTTGGTGAAGAGGATTATAGGTTGGTAATCCTTTGCTCTATCTCTAAAATTCATATGAGTGACTACATACCATGTTTGTCTTTTTGTGATTGGGTTACCTCACTCAGGATGGTTTCTTCTAGTTCCATCCATTTGCTTGCAAATTTCAAGATTCCATTACTTTTTTATGCTGAGTAGTACTCCAGTGTATAAATGTACCACAGTTTCTCTATCCATTCTTCAGTTGAGTGGCATCTAGGTTGCTTCCAGGTTCTGGCTATTACAAACAATGCTGCTATGAACATGGTTGAACATATGT